CCAACCAAGCCCTCTACCCTCCGGGGTCGGTAAATTGGTATCAGAGTAAACTGGAAGGTTAAAAGCGCTGACTTGGTAGTCGGTTGGCTTCTGCAAGTTATTGTAATAGGCCCGCACACATTCAGTAGCCTCTTTGACTGTGATGTAGACTGCGTTTGGCGCATGCCCTCAAAGTACTGGAAATGAAGAATCCTTTATCCTTTATTTATTCTGGATCAGAGATTTTTGCTGGGATTTTCGTTTACCACTGCAAAGAAATTGAGACAACGGTTGACAACTGTCAAAATTGAAAGCACCTTGTGTGTGTGCAGACTTTGTTGGAAGGCTATTTTGGTCTGGCTACGAGTTCTAAAAACCATAGAAAAGAATTTAGCCAGTCTGTATTCATTATGAGGTCCAATCTGAAACTCGAGCGAGCATTCGTAATCTTCAGATCCGGCTGAGCAAATCAAGCGTGTCGAATTGGGACACCACCATTTGAAGCCCACAGTAGAACAATAACCATAAAAGCTTTATAATGCCGTCCCCAGATTCTATGCAGTTTCACTAGCAACTCGTTTGATGTCGTGATGACGACTACATTTGAAAACCATCAAAACGATTTCTCCGACTTTCACCTGCTCGATCAGGAAGACCGCCGCGCACAGGTGAACGCGACGCGGGCGCACACGAACATAATCTGCTACTGCCAACGCAAATCGCGATTTATTGAGCCTTTCCTTTTGTTTCTGTAACCGTTATCGTTTTCCTCCAGGAGAGTCGGATCCGCACTAGCTTTTTGTACGCCTGAGCATTTCTGAACTCTCAATTTGTGTTCTGAGTTTTTACCATTGCATTGAGCGATCATTCTAGTTTATACCGCGTGAAGTTGTTCGTTTTGTCATGCAGTATTGATTGTTTCGCTATATACAGTCAACGATTTCACATTTGGAAATGTTCATCGACTACATTCTACTGTTTTATTTCCAGGAACAATGTCGGATCTTATATCCGGCCTCACAAGCCTGACGAAGCAGATTAGTAATAATATTCCTTATCAAATCAAAAAACTTGGCGAATCTGTGTGAGTTCTTCATTTTTTAATTGGCACTGGTTGCTTTTACCTGTTTTTACAGTCACACTATGGTTATGAATTATACTGAAGCTGAAAATCTTGTTTATGAAGCAACTAATGAGGATCCATGGGGTCCTACTGGCCCTCAAATGAAGGAGATTGCCAATTATACTTTCCAGTGAGCATTGAATTGTCAAGGAACTTCTTTCATATTTTTTGCATAATTTACTCAGATAATTACAGATATGAAGGTTTTCACCAGGTTATGAATCTGTTGTGGAAACGAATGCTTGAAGATAATAAAAATGCTTGGAGAAGGGTGTACAAGGTGCCTCTTTTTCTAAACTAACACTTTCATGAATGCTTATCCCATAACTTTAGAGTCTCACCTTATTGAATCACTTACTACTTCATGGTAGCGAAAGAGTTATTGGAAGCGCTCGTGACCATACATTTCAAATGAGGTTTGTTTTGACCCTTACCCCAATTTTTTCCTAATAAGTGATTTTACAGAGCGCTGGAGCAGTATAAATATGTTGATGATCACGGAAGGGATCAGGGCTTGAATGGCAAGTCTTTTCTAGCTACCTTTCTTGGCACACGAGTTTTTTATACCTCTGAAAATCTCTGCCAGTATATTTTAATTGTTTTTGCTGATTTTAATCCGCTATTAGTTTTTTGTACTTTCATGGGCTCAAAGATATCATCCGATTAATCGTATAAGCTGCTTATACACTCTCATTTGTCTCAGTACTGATTTGGGTTTTGTATCAGCATTTTTACTTACAAAGAAATGAAGTTTGTAAATTTTCAGTGCGCCATAGGGTGAAATTGATTTTGGATCTTGTCGGAGATGACGATAAACTCCGGGCGCAGAGGAGAAAGGTAAAATCTGATAACAAAGATCGCTATCAAGGATATACTTCCGAAGATATCCGCATGGGACGCGGAGGTTCCTATAGCAGTAAGTCAACTGCACGAAATTTTTTGGGGCCATATTTGACGTCCTTTTTCTGCAGGTAGCTCGATGCATGGTTACAGCGACGATTGGAAAGATGATACAAGTAGCTACAAGAGAAAATCTTCGTTTGAGGAGAGCAGGTAACATTACATAAAGTTGTTTTCGGCAGTAAGCTTTTGCTTTCTAGAGACGATTACGCCGTCAAGGAGGTGAATTCCTTCCAGTTTCCTGAAGAATCTCGGAGGGGATCCGTTTCTCCTGAGCTTGGATTTCGACAAGACGTATGTCACTTGTGTTTGACTTTGAATTAATCTATGTTTTGGGAACTTTTGCATTTTTGATGATTGGGGAATATACATTAAGCAGTAGCAAAACTATAACTTGTCGGTGCTACCTGCAAATGTTAATCATTTATTCTCTAAGCTTCTTCTTTTTAGCCTACTCCTGATGATGATTTTGGTGATTTTGCTACGGCTAGATCGATACCACAGCAAAACACGGCCGCGCAGAGGACAGGTTAGTATTTTCAAATAATCGACATAGAAGTGAAAAAAAA